CTTCGAACTCCCCTCTGCCTTCCGTGATTTATCAACAATCATCCGGAATTCCAAGCATCACCTGCACTTGACCCCTCCCATTCCTCCCTGCGTTATAGCCCTCCCTCCCTCACCTGCTGCCCTGATACTGCCATTATTCACTCCTCGCCCTCACCTCTGCGTTCTGTCCCTCAGCCTCAAACTGCAGTTGTCACACGTATATTAAAGAAACTTCGTCAGATTCAACATCTTCAACAACCTCCGCCCATCTCCGAACCTACTTTTTCTCGCTAAAATACTAGAAAAAGCAGCTGGCATTCACAGATTTCAGCACCGTCACAACATAACCATTTATGACGTTCCAGTGCGCGCGCGGTTTTCGCCCCGTCACAGCAGCGAACAGCCCTCATTAAAATCACAGGCGCTGGCGCGCTGATAGGCAGGGTACTACTGCGAAATCTATCGCATCTTCCTCAGATTGATTAAGTGCGGCCTTTGCACGACCATTGCCGCGCACGCCGCGCGACCCCCCGCCCCCGCCTCCGCCGGCGCGGCATGTTTGCCGAGCGTCGGCAGTCGCAGTTGGGAGCTTCTGCGTGCCCACACGCGCGCGCTAAAAGCGTGTTCAAGCGCGGAAGTATCTCTGCCGCCCGCTGACTGCGCCGCGTTGGATTCGATGTGCGAGAGGATGCAGTTCACGGCGTCCATCCCTCCCTCATCTCCTCCGGTGCTGTCATCGCGAGCGCTCTTCCTGGCCCATTCCTCTTCATCATTACTCCGGTCGCGCGCGCCCGCGCTTGCGGACAGTTTTCCGGTAACATAACATCAATTCTCCACTGCTATGGCGGCGACACCCAGCTATACGTCTCCTCCAAACCCTCTTTCCACCTTCCCACCCCCTCCCTCTGACCTGTTACAGGAAATCAATCCTGGTTCACCTCAATTTCTATAAACTCAAACGTATTAAACTGAGGTAGTCCTCATTGGTCAAACTCACACTCACAAGCAACCAGTTTTTACTCTCCCATCGAAACTCCCGGTTTCCCCTCCCCTCAGGTCAAGATTGGTGTCGTCCTCGACAGCACCCTCTCCTTACACACCATATCAACAACACCATCCGGTCTGCCTATTTCATCTCAGAAACATCAACCGCCTCCGCCCTATCATTCCCACGTGCCAGCTATTCGTCCATCTCTCGTCACCTCCCGCCTTGGACTAATTGGCAATTCCCTATCTCTAATGGTTCCCCACATAAACACCTACACAAATCAACTGGTCCAAAACGCTGCTGCCCGTATCATGCACAGAACCCTGTCATCAGTCACATCCACCCTGTACTATCACCAATCCACTGGCTTCCATTAACACGCATTACTACAAGATCCTTTTCATACTTCAAAGCCATTCATAACCTCGCCGCCCCATACTGTCTGACCTTGTCATGTCAACATTCCCCACCCGGTCGCTTGTAGGTTGCTGCCGCGCGCCGTCCGGAGGATCACTTCAAAGTTTTCCCAGCCCGTCTCTCCACCATGCGGTCAGGAGCTTCAGCCGCTCTGCCTCCCTCGGAACTCCCTCCCCTGATATTAGAAACATGGAAACTATCACTACTTTCCAAACTCACCTCAAAACCCACCTGTTCAGGCAAGATGGCTGACTGTGCTGCAAGCTGTATGGTTTTAGTAGTTAGTTTTGTGCGCGTCGTGTGTGGGGCGTTAACTATGTTTGTCAAAGAAGAAAAACGAGGAGCGAGCGCTGGTGCTTAACCTTGTTGTACGGCGACCTTGAGTGCTTGAAAGGCCGCTTATAAAATAAATGCATTATATATTATTATTATTGCCCACCACCATCAATCCATGCCGGTTGATCAGTTGATAGTCTATACCCCCACCTAACTTTCTTTATTGTTAACCGATTTTGAGTCCTGAAGCCCATACAAATATAATGTATGGCGCGCCGGCGGCTCAATGCAGTGCTTCCTGAGCACCAGGAGGTCACTTGCCGCTGACGTAGTCTGTGGCAATGGTTCGTACCAGCTCGTATGGTATGTGATCGCGCTGTGACTCTAGTGCGTGGCCAACAGTGAATGATATTCCTGACGCAACAGGTGAAGAATCAAAGGATCAAAGGTTCCCATAGAAAATGCATGCGGGTCATTTTTGATCCACTTATGGAAGTTTGGGGTAGTAATACAAATACTACAATTTCTTAAAATGTATACAATTTAAATAAAAAATGTGACTGGCATGATATCCAAAACATGTTTTCTGAGGAATAGCTGGAATATGAAATGATAAAAAAAATGTAATTACAAAGATACTCGAAGAAAACCACCCCACTGGGTAAAAAAAAAACACTTCTGCATCTAAGGGTTAAAATCTATGACACAGTGCCTAGTCTGCACTGCCTGTTTAGAATTCAAAAGAACAAGGCTTTAATTAAATGACAAGGACAGTAAATGTTGCACCGTGGGTTTTATTTTCATTGGAACAGGATGGAAGTCCTAAATTGTCACTCAGCAGCTCAACTGGCAAACAAAGGAAAACGACTAACCGTAACCACACACCTCTTTCTGCCATGCAATAAACCGTTGGAGCTCACAAGTCATAACAAATAAAGATAGGAGTGAAACTAAATATGCAAAGGTGTATATAGATCAGGGCTGTCAAACTCAATTTCATCGCGGGCCACATTCGCATAAAGGTTGCACTCAAAAGGGCCGGTTGTAACCATATAAATATATAATATATATATAAAATAATGCATTATATTACATAATTGCCTCTGAATTGGATTATTATCTGATAGGGTAATAACTTCATAATTAACTACGTCTGAAAGCAGAAGCCTAGGGCAAATAATTGCAAGTCTCTTCAGTGCGCATGTTACAAAACGAGATGCATTGTGGGAGATGTAGTTTATGGGCAACCTGCTTCTGTAAAGTGGCAATTAACCATATAATAAACTTATTATATTCTTTGCAAGCTCTTGCGGGGCCACATAAAATTATGTTGCGGGCAGGATTTGGCCCCCGGGCCTTGAATTGAGACCCCTGATATAGATGATTTGTCTTTTATAAATAATGAGCTCGTAACTAAAGAAACCAATTATTATATGTTATCTAGGAATGATTGCAGGGTGTCAAGACAAGCTGGAAATAATCTTGAGTGAATAAAAAGCTCATATATCACTTATCTTAAAGCCTCACCTGTGAAGAGGAAGAAGATGAGGACCATAATCAACGTGTATCCGAAGTAGAGGAAGGTGCTGGCAGCGCCGACAATTTGTAGCTTTGAGAAGAAGTAATGCACAGAGTAGATGAAGAGATAGACTGCTGTGAAGCCGCTGGTGAGGAAGGAACGCCACCACCAGTGGTAGTCCTGCACACACATCACAAATAATAACATGTTAGGATATGTGTACTTGAATTACTATAGGCAAAAAAGTATGAGTATAACATTTATTTTTAACTCATCTTATTCTATTTTACTTGTATATAGTTCACTTAGTCTTGCAACATTCTCTTGCACTATTTCATTTCCACTTGTTTCTTCTTGCACTATTTGTATTGTTGTTTTATTGATGTTTTATGACTTATATATATTTATATTGCATTGTTGGAGTAGCCTGGGTCTTAAGATTTGTATTGCCATAACTACAATGTGGCTACTGTGCATATGACAATAAAGCCTTTGAACCTTTAGACCTTTAGTCAGGAGAGTGACATTAAATAACTAATATCTTCAAAGGCAAGATCTAGAGAAGAATACTAACTTAAAATATATTCATTTGTATTTCTTTCATTTCTACAACAGTGGGACTATGATATTACAATTATAGTATGAACTATTAACAGTGAATTTATTTTCAAGTTTCAATTATTTTTTCCAGACTCAAGTTTGTGAACTGAGACAAAGTTCTCTGAACACGTGGGTACCTCAGCACACAGGTGGAAGTAGCAGAGCAGGACTGTGGCCTCGGAGCAAGTGATGAGAAGAATAATAAAAACCAAGAACAGGAACCCGAACATGTAGTACATCTGATGTGACCTGAAAAGAACAGAGGGAAACCACATATTACATGTACTGTAACAAAGAGCTCAACCACACCTTCCCTTTCAAATCAGGAAATACAGCATGTCTTTGTTCTTACCAAATGCTGTTGAGAATGAAGAAAAGCTGGATGAAAATGCAACCAAAGGGCAGGATCCCACCCATGACGATACCAGGTACAGGCTTTGTAAAGAAAGACTGCTCAGGAATTTGACGAGGGATTTGATTTGTTCTCACTGGTTGCTCGATCGCCTGCATGGCAGCAGAAAGAGAGAGGATTTTAAAACAAACTCAAGCATATTTGATCAACAATCAATTATTTCAAGATCATTTGATAAACTCGGAGCTCTAACTCACAGCTTTCTTGAATCCAAAGTAGGCGCCGAGGAAGGTGAGGGGCACAGAGATCCCAAACCACAGAGCCAAAATGGCCACCAGAGTGCCGAAGGGGATCGCTGCTGAGGAACCTTCCACCCAAAGGATCAGGTTCATCAGGAAGAAGTCTGCAAACACAATACTAGGGAAGAGAGAGGGACGGAAGACACAGAGAGGGACAATACATGTGAGAATGATAAAAGTAGTGCAAAGGCATTTACAGCACAACATTTCACTCCAGGGCAGAAACAAAGTAGAAAAATGGAAACCTAAGTAAACCTACCCTGGGCACAAGAGGGCTGTCAGCAACACGTTTGTCTTCCACTTCTCACCTCCGAAAGCTAAAAGCAGAAAACAGAGACATTAGAATGAGCAATAACTCTTAAGACTTTTGTGAAACCGTGTGAGGTGTTTTCACTGGACTCTTACTTTTGTAGAGGCGAGCAGACACATAGCCAGCAGGCGTTCCCAGCAGCACCCAGAGGACCACAGAGCACGTCATGAGGGCCCCTCTATTGGCCGGCGACAGGAAGCCCAGACAGGCCAGGACTACAGGGGACAAACACTCATCAGTGGGCTCATTCAGCACAACAGTAAACAAATACTTCTACTACTACTGCTCCTGGTTTTTATACTGTAATACCCCAAACTTGCTTGACGATGTTTTTTTAAATGTGTCTTCTTGGTGAATAATGTAGTTTAATTGATTGCAGAGACTCAAGTGGATGTGCTTTAAACCTTGTTCTGAATGTTTTAAGAAGAAATATATTCACTTTAATTGTTCTACTGCCCTCTCAATCTGTAGGGATGTCCAATACCATGAAGGCAAATTAAAATCTTGCTCAGGGATTGTTTTTGGATTAAATAATGAGTAAAATAAAAACGTATCTGTTTGTATGTTCAGCATAACACCTGTGTGGTTAATGTTGTGTCCTTTGTGTTAAACACTGTTTTATTAACTACATTTTAATTTGACTTTTATTTAATATATCTCTGTACATTTAGTTTGCAAATAAACAATTTTTAGTTCATATACAATTAATTTTCTTAAATTGTAACTAAGTTGACTAACAAGGCAGCTGTTTAGTTTAATACTGACTGCAACAATGATAATCTGGAACAATTATGTGTGCAAACAAATGGTACACTCCCTGGGATAATACGAAGCAGGATTTTCGCTTAGCCGGCTAACTTCAGGGAAAAGTCGGGGTTTCCGGTCCTACGAAGCTGGTTCTCTTTTTAGCAGGCTAGATCTCCATGGTAACTTATGCTGTGCGGCTAACCAGGGGGGTATACTACGAATCTAGTTCAACCTATCCTGGATATGTTTTGAGTTATCCGGTTGACTTAATCCAAAACCGGATAATATTCGATGGAATAATATATAATATCAAATTCTTTCTAATAATTTATAGACGGGTGTTGTATTTCATTGGCCTAGTTTCATTGCTAATGCATCCGGATCGCAGGCCGCCGTGACACTCACGTCTCGAGCTACACAGGGTAATAGTTATAGTATAGTGTAGTCGGTAGTCCGTGTAGTATCTAATAGTCAGCTATCAAAGGAAATTAGCACTCAGTCGGACTCGGCATAGACCCGGGCGACGTTCGTGTGAGTCACAGGTATGACATGAAGTAAGTCGCTTCATACTGCGACGCGACAGTCATGTGTCGAGAGGTACAAACACTACCAGCTTACGCAGGTGCTATGGTGGAAAATAGCACTTGCCGCGTGGATTGATCTATCCTTGTGCGACCGACTCGCTTGCTCTACTCTCGGTCGCAACATCCTGTCAAATTCGCTCNATTCCAGTCCCTTTTCAAAACTCATCTCTTCTCCTCTTGTCTACTCATTTTACAGCAAAAATTACTGCTGGTGCTGGAAACACCAGGGCCCTGCACTCAGTGGTCTGAGTGCAGGGCCCTGGTGTTTCCAGCACCAGCAGTAATTTTTGCTGTAAAATGAGTAGACAAGAGGAGAAGAGATGAGTTTTGAAAAGGGACTGGAATACTGTGAGGGTCTCAGAATAACGGAGATCTTTGCATCAATATGTTCAAAACATTTCATTTAAAAAAATGTTTTCCTAAAATTATAAATAGTGAAAAATTAAATATTTCTAGTGTGAACCAAAATACAATACTAAATATTATAAAAGTGATTTTTCTTAACCAAAATGACAAATTGCATTAAAACGCATATTATTCTATTACGGGTCCTTTCTGACCCACTTATGGAAGAGTGTAGGGTCCAGTCACTCGTGCATCTAAGGGTTAAGAACACTTATCTCCAAGAGTCCCTTTTTGTTTAAAGTTGAATGAAAATCACAGACTCTATTGGATATTTGAGTAGAACGTTCAAAGTCCCTCTGGGTCAGATCTACTTTTGTCGATTTATTTGGGTCACTTCACCTGTCTGTGGATGGCAGAGCCTAGTTTCATCGACGAGCTTCTTTTTTTTTCTTTAGTAGATCAAAAGAAGCAGTTACCACTTTCCCTTATTGCCATGGCTGATAATAAGCCTGTATGCACTCAGGATTCCTGACCATTGCTGAATTTCTCTATGCCTGCTCATAAAGTCCAGCCGGCCGTGTGACTAAGGTTGTGCAGATTTATGTACGACACCATTACCACAAGGATAGGATGAACACAACATTATTGCTGCTTTTGTTTCCATGTTAAAAGAGACAAAGATTGGCGCATGTTGACATGGCAACCGCACTCTACGGCCCTGTCCAGCTCTCTTGCACACCCACTCAGATGACAATAGGGGTGTGTGCAGGAAGAGGATAATATATGGGACTAGATAACGGCGTCGTTTTTCTGTCAAGCAGAAATATACTGCTCACCAAGATGCCAGATTATGACTTTTTTTTTTTTGATGTTAAACTGTCATTAGGCCAGATAAGAAGTTAGCCTGTAGCCCTGCTCGTCACGGCAGTGCGGCTTGACACTATCTTAACACAGAGCTGTAAGTAGCAAGGGGACGAGATGTCAAAAGATTATCACTAAGAAATAATCCAAGGATTCAAGGAAAAGATGATCAGTTTCCCTCCTTGCTTTCAGTTGATCTAAATAATCCTAATCTCTCTCGTACCCCATCTTTACATTCTTAACCTCATCTCAACTTTGATTTCAATTTATTCAGGATTGGACTGAGGCCCTGTTGAGCAGTCAGTTAGGACTTTCACTTGAATTTATCCAGGATTTTGACCAATTCTCAACATTGGGGGAGAAAATGGTTTGCTACGAAATCAAGCTAGCTGTAAAACACTTTTTATTTGTCCGTGTGTTCTTCTTGCACACATTCATTTAAAACCTTTGTTGCCTGCATTCATTCAGATTCCCAAAGTCAGCTGTTCTCCCTTGGACGTTTGTTTTAGTTGATTTGAATCTTTTTTCAGACATTGATCAAATCCTCCTCTAACCTGCCTTTTCTTCTCAGGTACAATTGGCTTCTTCGCCTGCTTCTGGTTTGTAAATAAGATCTACAGTGTGGTCAAGGTGGACTAGAAGACTGAGGGACAGACTGACTCCTTCCTGTGGCAGTGCCGGCCTCCTCAGAGCCGGCTGGGTTATAAAGTGGGCTCAATGGTCCTGAACTGAAACCATCACTGATCATAAAAAAGACCTGAAGAGCAGAGCCCGTCCTCTTTTGTGCTTTAAACCTATGTTGCTATTGTCTTTTATTTTATTTTAAAATATATATATAATTTTGTCTTCACTGTTGACCAGTAATGTTTGAGTGGCACCCTGAGAATCATTGTGGGTTCCAATGATCTATCTAGCTGTCATAGTGAAGCGTTTGTTTTGGTGGGAGAAAAATCTCAAACAATATAATTTTAATTTTCTAAAGAAAGTCAAATGTTCTGTATTTTTTGCTTTTCTATTCCCTTATGGTTAAATGGTTTGTTTTTCATTACCTGTATTGTAATGATAAACATGTGTGTGTACATATAATGTATAGAGAGAGTGAGCAAGAGAATGCTACTTAAAGATTGTCACCATGATTGGATCATTTGTAGAAGTTTCTTTTCTTTTTTTTTAAGGTAAAGATGGGGCTATACATACTTTAAATATCAGCCTGTATTGTAGTTCAAAACTTATATAAAACACTGACATTAATATGATACATGTCCATTCTCTTGTTTTTTGGTGGCTAGATTTAGTTTAGCATTGAATCAAACGGTACACTTGGTTGAGAAGCACATAGAAGATTATGCTACAGTGTGTTGAACTTGAAGCATCATCTCTCACCAATATTCCTGACTTGTTCAGCTACTGGAGAGATTCTAATGCAGTCATCATAACGCAGATCATGATTTTACTGATTAAGAACATATGTACCGTTGAGATGCACACTTGTAGATTTTAAAAAGCAGTTTGCAGAACAGTTACTTCATAAAACACTGCTACCTTTTGCTTTGCGCAGTGTGGAGCCGTCACCCAAGGTGATAACGCTTTTTCCAAATAAATGCAATTAATTCAAAAATAAAGGCCACATGTTTTTGTCTTTGAGCCACTAAAATGCATACATTACACACATAACCACGTTATTTTTTGTCCGGACATGAGTCTATTGGATTAATTGTTCAGTAGATTATAGTCTTTACATCTGTGTGGTTATAAAAGGTCACAAACAAGCATTGGCACATTCAACATCTTATTGTTTACACTTCAACATTATGCACAAAAACTACTAGTTAAGGAACTTTTGGGCAAACTCAAATGTCTGTTTGCTTTAGTTAAGTTGAGGATCGAAAACTGTCCAAACATCATCCTATTTAGATTTCTTAAGCATATGTTGATAGGGGGAATATTCATATGAAAAACATGATAATATAAAGCTTTACACATGTTACAATAAGTTCACCTTTATTTAACAGACGACTTCTGATGTTGAATAAAGAAACCAGAAATAATACAAAAGCACAATATAAATCACACAAATATGGAGTTTTAAAGCACTTATAAACATTAGTTTCTCTTATTTGACATTTACTTTATTACATCCTTTATCCCTCTGTTTAAAGAGCAACACTAACAAACTTACACATGTTTGATTGTCATGTATAATACTGTGGTATGGGTTTCTACAGTGACCTTTTTAATAAACCAAGAATAATATCTAAGCCAGTCAAATCAGGTCCTATAACTTGTCAATTGATTCCCACAAAACTATTACAATCCAGTTATAACAACACAACAGGTGCACCAGCTCATGGCTAAATGTTTTTTTTCTTCCCAAAAGGTTACAAAAACTGGACACATTTGGGACTTAACATACATTTTAAATAATGCACATAATGTAGTAATGCACCTATGACATCCTTTGGCAACACATCACCTACGCAGTTGGATTGCCTTTTTCTGAGATTAGTCATTGCAATCATATAACACTTGTATCAGAACTCATACTCTTTAAGCACAGACGGTTTTTTCATTTCAAATACTATATCAGGAGGTATCTTAACAAACGTACATGTATTCAGTGGAATGTAAGAAATCTGTTACATAAGATATTGCCGCATGCAGCCTATGTTAAACCACAGGTTTAACAAGTACACTAGACTAATGTTTGTATCATACCCTGCACTCTATGCT